ATAATCTAAAAGCTATAGAACCTCTACTATATATTATAATATAAATATATATTAAATATAATTATATTAATATATATTAAAAATAACTTAATTATATATATTAATTATATTAAGTATATAAAGAAGAACGTTATATTAAAGGTAAAATAAGAGTTATAAACTAAAAAGAGGTTATTAAAGGTATTAATTAGTTATAAAAGTTATTAAACTATTCTATAGTTATATATATTTAGAACTAAGTTATTAATTATTAAATAGAAAATCCCTATAGTATAAATAAGTTTTAAACTAAAAGTAGTATATCTATATTCCTCTACCTAAAGGGTAAAGGGTCCCCTATTTACTAGGTAGAGAACCTATTAACTAGATATAACTAATAACTTTTCTAACTCTTTTTATTATTAGCTTTAATAGATATATTACTTAGTTTACTAAAAACCCTCTTTATTTAGTATATTAATTAGGATGTCTTTAATAACTATTAATAATAATAATAATAATAAGTACTATTTTAGCTAGGTATAAGAAAGTAATTAATCTATTATTAAAAGCGCTCTAATAGCTAAATAAGTAATAACTATCTTTATTAAATAATATAATAAGTAATAATATAAATAGAATAAAAAGCTTAAAATTAAATAAGAGTAATAAGAAGTAAAAGGGTTCTTTTTTATAGACCTATAATCTTAATAGAAAGACCTAAATACTAATTAAATATAATAGAATTAATAGTAGTATTACTAGAGATAAACTCTATAATATAATAGTATTTTAGCTTATTTAATAAGTTATAAAAAGAGGGTAACTCTTTATTAATAGCCTCCTTTTTAATATAAATATTATAGTTAAAAGTATTTTATTCTATGAAGTTAATAGATTTAACTAAAATATCTTTAATATATATTTTATTATCTTTATTATTATTTAGCTAAATAGATATTTTATACTCTTTAAAGAACTTTTATATTATCTCTACTTTCTCTATTAGTTAATAAGTAGTATTAATAACTACCTAAATAATAAGTATTTACTTATTATTAATATCTTATTAGGGGACTTTATTATATTTAATAAGGTTAATCTCTAACTAATTAGTTTAAGCTTTAGTTACTTCTATAAGTTATTACTTAAAGGGCTTATTAATAGTAGTATTAAGTAGCTAAAAAAGAGAGATAAGCTTAAATAGTATAAGAGATAATATAATATTAATTATTTAAAGTTTATTTATAATAAGAGAGGTCTTATAGAAGGAGATAATATTTATAATAAGAAAGTAATTATAATTACTATTTATAGTAATAAGAGAGATATATTCTTTATTAATTTATTATTTAAATAAAGCCTTATTATAAATAGTTTAATTAAATTTAATAGTAATATTTAATAAATAAAATTGATATTTATTTTATTATATCTTATTATTTAATTTAATAAGGGTTCTATAAAAAATAAACTTAAGTTTAATATATTATATATTATTTATAAAGATATAGAGAATTAAAGTAGCTTATTACTTTATTTAGTTATTTTAATTAAACTTATTAATAATAATATAAATACCTTTATAAGCCTATATAAACCCTTTACTATACTCTTATAGAATAAAAGTCTTATTAAAGTTTAGAATAACTAACTTTAAATATTAATAAGATAGTAAGTTATTAAGTTAAAGAGAAGTATTACTCTTATATATAGAGGGCTACTTAATTTAGTAATTAAATTAGAGAAAAGAGTTAATAATAGTAATAAATTTAATAAGCTTCTTAGAGGTAATCTTTATAATATAATAATAAGAGATATTTTATTACTTTTAAAAGTTAATAAATTATTTTATTAAAAAGAGGAAGAATATAAATAGTATTTTATTATAAACCTAAATAAATAGCTTCTTTAAGTAATAATAAAACTATTTAATAATAATCTTTTTATTTTTATTATAATATAAGTAAAAGTCTATATAGAGCTTAGCCTCTATAGAAGAATATTTAGTAAGATAGATAAAATAGTAGTTTAATAGATCTAATAGTTACTTATAAATATTATATTACTACTATATTATATTAATTAGAATCTTAAATTAGATAATAGCTTCTTTATATATTAAGTAGTAAAAGGAGCTCTCTAGGTAGCTCTTATTAATATAGAGTTAAATAGGCTTACTCTAAATAATAATATAGTAATACTTAAGGAATAAGAGAACCCCCTACTTCTTATAATATAAGTATAAATATTTAATATATTAAATTAGTCTATTTTAGCTATAGTATAATAACTCTATAAATAACTTTATTTTTAGGCTTAAATAACTATTATTAATAAATAGAATAATATTAAGGTTAACCTTATTAAGTAGTAGCCTTTTAGGTCTTATTTTAATACTAAAATTATATTAATAATAGCCTTATAGATAATTAATAAAAAATAATATATAGAAGGATAAATAATAGAGGGAGAGACTTACTACTTACTATAATTAAAAAATCTAGCCTAGTTTAGGGGGGGTAGGTTAAGTAGGTAAAATAGTAAAAATTAGGTAAATTAGGGTGGTATAGAGGGTGCTAGTGGAAACCCAATTTTACTAGAAAAGACGGTATTATGACCCGTACTAGCAAGGGTCGGGTTTACTTCAGGACTTCACCCAACCTGAGGCACAGGAACAGAAGGTCATGGCCACAGCCAGGCTCATGCTTTATGGCAGCAGTTCAGACTCACACTTACAAACCCAATCCAAAAAGCCGTCTGCCCAGATAGACATGCTATGCGTGGAGGACCTCGTGCTGCCGTCGGGTGTATTTCCATTATCTTGTACCCTACCTACCTTGAGGTACCTACCTACCTAAGCATCTGACGAACGACTGAGATGCAGTCTGCAACCCCTGCAGCCCCTGCAGCACGCTGGTTGCCGGGCAAAAGGCAGCGTGTTATTAAGACACCTCAGTACTGTGTATCTCAGTCCAGATGCAGATAATAGCAAACCGGAAATACCTTACCTACTACCTTGACCTGAAGCTGGCTGTCTATACTTGTTCTGGCCCATTCACAATTCCAGTTGGTGTTGGCCTTGGCTACTTGCTACCTTACCTAAGGTACCTACCTACCTATAAGGTAGGGACGGCAGGTGGTGGACATTGATTGGAGATTCGGGAGTCGGGAGGGTCCTCGGGCATTCCATCCTTGGGCTTGGGGTCCTTGAGACAGGGCCCACTAACCAAGCAATGAGATGCAGCGCTCGCCTCGGGTCCGGGCCCTTTAGCGTGATGCTCCCCGCCTAACCCAGCCCAAGGTACCTTACTAGGTACCTAGGTAAGTGCAAGGCAACGACCCAAAAGTACGTTCCATGCACGTATCCGTCATGAGTCGGTACCTATCCGTACTTACCTACGGGTTACCTCAAGTAAGGTACTCAGAAGCAACAGAAGGGAAGTTGCCTTACCCAATTTACCCAATGCCTTATTCCTCTCAAGGCCAATCTCCTTCGTCTTCAGAGCATGTTCGTCTTTTGATTAGCGGGGGAAATTAGGCTTGCTTCACAATGAGATAGATAAACCTCCTTGAAAGAAAACAGACAACATCAGATAGATTAATTGCCATCATAACAGCAGAGCATGGAGAGGCACCGGGGAACAGAGGGATCGGAAACAACAAAGAAGACGATTGGTTCCAACTCGAACGCGCCTACGAATACAAGGCACCTACCTACCTAGGTACGGATATCTTACTTAAGCTGCCTACCTTACCAGGTAAGGTACGGTGAGGATCCTTCCTCAGGTGCCTTAGGTAATCAAATCTTCCCTCGTTTGCAGCGTAGGTATCTAATGGTGAGGTGCCCAAAGCGGTAGCGGCAGCGTTACCTTACCAATGTAGTGCCGTCCACCTTCGTTCTTCCCTCCTCTCTGTCCCTCTCGCTCTCTCTCTTCCCTCCACTCACACTAACACCGAATGTAAGAATCACCCGTCTCCCGTGTGAAATCCTCATTTAGACTGCTTATAATAGCTGATTTTGGCTTGGAGAAAGATCCAGACCTGCGTTCTACCTACCTAGCATCTAGAAGCCTCCAAAGAAGCCACTCGCTGTATGCGTATCAGGCAAGCCCCAAGCTCCAAGCCCCCGGATGCAAGCCAAACTGGACGACTAAACGTCAGGTACGGATACCTTACCTCGCCTTACCTGACCTATTATGCGCTTCATGCATTCATTCATTCATTGCACACCCAGGTACACCGACTCGACCCCATCTTCCCCCCTTTCTTCATCGTCTTTGATGTGCGCCTCATGTACCTTACCCCTTCTTCTTGGTCTTGTGTTCTCGCCAAGGTATCCGTACAAATACATACGCCTTGCAAACTCCCTTTCCTCTTCTGAAATAACAACATGCCTCCCTCTGGTGTCCCCGTACATAGTAGTCCCGCACTGAGGTACACGCTCCTCTGACGTCCAATCCCTTTCCTCCTTCTCCTCCTCTTCCTCCTAGTGTTCCCCCTTCCCCTTATATCCACCCCCCCTAAACCTCGTCAGTAACCCTTCCCTTCTTGTTGTTGTTCTTGACCCTTCCGTCAGCCGGCCGGGCCTCTTTCATTTACAACACGGAATGTGTGACCTGGTAAGATACCGCCTTTTCCCCCTCTGCTCTCCGTCAAAAGCCATTGCCGCCCGATTCCTTTCTCCTCCGCTTATTTGCTTCGTCCCCCTTCGCTTTCCCGACAATCTTTCTTCTCCATCCATATCCCTCGACAACCTCGACGACATTGACTTTCCCTCGACTCCGCCCCAGCTCGTCCGTTGTGCCGACCCCAACCCGGCCGAACCAACGTAACCGCTCGAACATCACTTGCGTTTTTTTGATAGTCAATCTGTACTTTCTCCCTCGTTCCCTCCGACGACCAAAGACCGCCCTCGTGCATACGATCGATCCGACCTGAACAAGCCTACCGCATCCCCCGGTGCTTCATTCTCATGTCGCCCGCCTTCACCTGACACTTCGGGTTCTCCGACTTTCGCCATGGAACCCGTCCCCGAGACCGAGAGAATGGAAGAGTTCCGACGTTCGCCTCTTCCATCCCTCAGAGTTCAGAATCCCACTCTGCTCCCTCGCGTCGACACCGACCCTGAACCCTTGCGGAAGCCGCCCACCTTGCGACGTCAGACCGATCCGAGTCCCACCTCTCCGACCGCCCCGGCATGGACTCTACCCCCTCTGCCATACCGCCCACGTACTACCTCCCCTCTCTCCGGCCACCATACAAGATCGAGATCCGCTGCGAGTTTGGCTCCCCCCATGTCTCGGACTCAGTCTATGCCTGGCGTCAACGGCGCTGGTCACATACTCTTCGCGCCTCAATTCCGTCCTTCCAGTCCCTCGGGCTCCCCCAGCCGCATTCGAATCCCTCGAAAACCCGTCGACGAGTCTTTTCCTACCTCACCAATTCGCAGCTCTGTGTTGGAACCCGATCGCAAGCCTGCCGACCTCAACAACTCCCCGGGTCTGGGTATCGCCACAGCTTCGGCGACCCTGCCCCGTCACCGCCGCCCTTCGTCACCTTTGAGGCACCCTGGCCACGCCAGTACCGGCTCACTTCCCGCACTGCCATCCACGCCAACCTCCGTGGCATCTTCACCGTCCTTCAGGCCCTACGAGGTCTTCTCGCATGGCTACGGCGTCCCCGCTTCGTTCCCGTCCTCCGTGCCGTCAACCCCTACCTCCACAAGATCTAGGAGCCCTAGCATTTCCAGTCTCGAAACAATACCCGATTCCCCTGATGCCGAAGAGGCGGCTATGGAAGCAGAACGCATCGCTCAGCTCAAGGCAGCCGCCGATGCCGCTGAGCGAGGCGAATCAAACGATGCCAAGGGCAGAAGCAGCTTGGACGTGCCGTCGAGAGGCAGGACGCTGGGCTTCGGTTCCCGAGACAAGCGGAAGCGATGGAGTGTTTGTGGTGCCGAGCGACGTCAAGATCTTGACTTGGAAACGATATGGGAGGATTGAGGCGAAGGCATGATGACAGTTCCTGCCGCGGCCGCAGGTATCACGAAGGCCTCAATTTAGGTTCAACAAGGACAAGATGGCTTCGAGAACCGCGCATCGACTTTCGCGAAACTCAATCTTTTGGGCGCCCCAGTTTCTTTTCTTTCTTCTTTGCATGGCATTCTGCATTCGGCTGGCTAAGGGTTATGACGGCGTTCAGTGAACTGCTTTTGATACCCTACACTGCATTTCACCTATTAAGGGCATTACGGAGACATTGCCATCATGTCGGGGGTTTTGTACTTCCAATGGTTGGGTTCTTCTCTCCCTCTCTCTCTCTCTCTGTCTCTGCGATTAAGGCTTGCGATTCCGCTCAGGGACTGGTGTAGGTGGAGCGCTGATGAATTGAATACTTTACGTTCACAAACACTTGAATCTCTCCATGCCCGTGACAAATCTGCTAACGAACTTCTGTCAGGTACCGTGATGATGTCTCAAGTGTATTCGACGCAGGGTGGTAACGGCCGAGCCCCTTGCTCAAAGCTATTTCCACCCTGCGTCTCGCCAACTTTCAATAGACTACACTCATAGCTTTCCCTCTATTCTTCACATGTCCACTGTCCGGCAACCAAGGGGCTCTTATTGTGCGCTCGTGGTGATCTTGCTGGCCCCTCGCTGTGCGAGGCGACCAGACGACAACGTATAAGATGGACATGTCGACGGGCATGTGCTTAGTCTGCTGCAGACCAGCGCAGTCTCATCATCACTCGCTCGTCCACCCCAAAGATTCGGTCGTAATATCTCATCTTCATTCGCTCTTTTGTCCATCACCGTCATAACGCCCCAAACATGCATTACCCCCTACTGCTCGGTGCTGTAGTCCTGCTGACTGGGGAAGCCAGAGCAGCTCCGAAGCCCCAAGATGACCAGGTGAGATTGAACACTATGATGTGGAACTTCCCCTCTGCAACTCGACATTGGCTGATGGAAACATCAGATGGCTGCTCATGTCGTGCAGCGACGAACCTTCCAGTTGGAGCCGGATCCGGGCGCTGGTGCCAACTCCGAACGAGATCGGCCCATGTATCACCAGAACGGCACCAATGCGACGACGCCGACAGCATCAGGCACTGGCGGAATGACAAGCAGAACATTTACACTGCCACACAATACGTCAAGCACTTCCATGCACGCTGAATGCCCAATGAGTGTTGTGACTTCGACCACGACGGTTGATGTCACCTTCTACGTAACTGCCACAACGTCATATGGCAGTAACTTGACGTCCTACTACGGCACTGGCACGGCGCATACTTCGGTCGTCTCTTCTCAATCAGGTCTCAACTCTACCGTCTCTTCCACGTCGATGCGGCTTTCTTCCGGGCTTATAAGCTCAGCTAACTCATCTACAACCGTCGCACCCGCGGCCTCGGAGTCTCCGTGCTCGGAGGATGTGTTCAGCACATTAGCATCTCACAACACGACAAGCCGAGTGGGGAACACCCTAATCACTTCCTCGCCCATCATCAAAACCACCTCCTCTACTCTGCCCTCGCGGTCTACCGAACCATGCGATGATGATCTAGGTTCAACTTCTCGGCTGAACTCGACGGCGACTGCATCTAGCACGTTGCCGGGCTCAACGGTAGAATCTCCAAGCGTGACGCCATGCGACAACGAGTCTGGAACTGGAAGCAGCTTGACGAGTACACAGAGCTCAACCGGCCACGCTAACCAGACGTCCAGCTATAGGACCATCTCTGGCAAACCTCAGGGCAGCTCAACCGCCCTTTATACCTCTACCTCCACGTCTCTCGATGAAGTTTCATCTACTGTCTCGACGGTCGAGTCAACGACAGCAAAGCCTTGCAACGACGAATCCAGCACACCAACTTCTGTCGCTCCCTCGGACGCATCATCTTACACAAGCCAGAACGCCTCGGCTTCGAGCACCATAGAGGCCAGCCCATCATTCTCAAGCGACCTCACAACATCACCAGTCACCGCTGCGACGTTGACGAGCATCGGAACATCCGCATCATTGTCAAACCCAATGACTTCTGCTGCAGTAACTTCAATCCCGCCCGAGAGTTGCGTCATTGACACCTCCATGGCGCCTGTAACCAGTGCACCACTTACCTCGGTTCCGTCATCAACTCTTGTGCCGACGAAGACGGTCTGCCAGAACGACGCGCCGACGGGAAAGCCGATGCCAGGAAATCACCACTGCGGCGTCCACGGCTTGCCAGTGGGTAACTACTTCCTGGCGCGCTTTGTCGAGAATTCGCCCGGCGTGCCCGTGACGCTGGAGGGATGCTACCAGTTCTGTGCCGTAAGTACTAGTTGTTCGTTACTGCTGTTTGTTGGCAACACATCAGTGGATTATGGCTGATTCTGCTGACAGAGCGTTATGAATGCCACGGACGGCTGCAAGTCCTACCGCTTCTATCCTGAGAAAGGCCTCAATGTTCCACGATGCGACCTTTACGGCAGCAACGTGGCGTACGCTCTTGATTCCATTGATAATGACCATCCCGATCTCTGGTTTGACCTTGCGTGTGGCTCGCCCTCGGACCCTAACTGGGTGCATCTACCTGGAATGACTCGTCTTCGCGACCTTGGATTGCTGGAGTAGATCGTCGCAATTCATCAGCAATTCGATAGCGCGGGCAGGATGTTCAAGTTGGACGCAGGAGCCAGCTGTGCTGCTAGGGTTGGTTTGCGCATGGTTGGTCGAGCACACAAGCTATGGCAGGCACGCACGTATCGACCTGCGTCAAGAGGGCGAATGTTTACATGGTCTTGGCAAGATATTAGAAGTTGTAATGTTTACCAGTTTAATCGTCTAATTAGAAGCGGTCATCAATCATACCTGCGTTTGCAACTTCCGTCTAGTCAAAGGGTATCCTGCGCAGAGACTCGTGGGCGCCCCTCTTCTTCATCTCCTGAGCGGCAGCGATACTGCTCGGTACTTTTATACCGCAGCAGTCGCCCCAGCCTACGTGCTGATGCTTGTGTTCGCCGATGTCTTGAGCTGAAATCTCCCCTCCCTCCACTTCATCTTGTTCATGTCCCAGCCCAAAGTCCTGCTCCGTGCTCATACCGTCTACCGCCGGAACCAACGAGCCAAAAAGGAAGTGCTGCATGACGGGCAGTTTCTTCAACACTTCGGCCACAAACATGCGGCGCATACCGCCTTCAACTTTGGTCCAAGACTTGGCTGCTGAGATATCATCCAGCATGGGGCTGTGCCACCGCAATCCTTTGACCGTCTTCGTCCCGTTGACGAAGTTTACCTGGCCTAGATAGAGAAAATCGGCTCCGAACTCCTCCAACGTCAGCTCTTGATGAATCGCTAATGGTGTAATGAATGGGTGGTGTAAAAGCTGCGAGGCCCCGAACAGGAACGGGAGAAACTGATAATCGTCAAGGCCCCACACGCCGTGCGATCCCGCGGGTTCCAGGTAGTAGGTCAACTGGACGTTTCGCATAAGCTCGAGGTACCGGTTGAAGACCTCGAGCACCAATGGTCTGAAGTCGTCCTTGGTGAGTAGCTGGAGCTGGTACAGGCAGAGAAGCCACATGATGAAGTTGAGTTCGTGCCCAGAGCCGTAGTCGATGCGCATCCGGTTTCCAAAGGAGTGCTCCAAGTAGACCGCGGTCTCATCGCTCGCCGCGTCAGTAACGCCAAGTTGTTTCTGCCATCCTGCTGCCTTGTCTTTCACCAGGTCCAGGAATGTGCGAAAGGCCTTGTTCCCAAACCGTGATCCTCCTTGGTCGTCGGGTGGCGACTCCTTCACCAGAGCATCCACTTCGTCGAGAATGCGCAGGATCGATCGTACTGCCGGGCTTAGGTCGTCGTCCTTGACAACCGAGCGAGGCGTGTCTTCAACGGACTCGGAGAGGCCAAAGACGAATGCCAGGATCAAATTATAACTAGACGAGGACAAAAACAGCTCGTGGTCTTTCTGGGAGAGAATCCGTCTTGAGGGCGTCTGGTAGGCATGATCGCGGAGGTCGGGGGGTAATGGCAACGCTGGGGTCTCGGGGCGAGGAGTAGGGTTGGAGGGAGCTCCCCGACGACGGCGAGGTTCGAGTTTGGGGATTTTCTTGCTCAAAGGCGCAGTTTGCGCACTGAAATGGATTGATGGATTGACTGAGGCCATGTCGTCTCAGGAAAAGGTTGACCCGAGGGGTTGGCGATGAAAATGGTACGAGGGAAACGGAGTATGGATGGAAGAGGACGCTATGGTGCTATGGAAATCGAACGAGGACGGAAACTTGAGATGCCCGCCCCGCGTCATACCTACCCACCTTACATAAGTACCTTGCCTTAGGTGCCTACTGCCCAGATAGGAACTGAAGTTCGACAACCTTAGTAAACAGGTACGTACCTCACACTTGGTAGGTAGGGACTTCATCTCAATTTTTCACCGGCGAAGCCAGCCATAGCAACGTCACTCATTATACAAACAGCATTTGACTTGTCTTACCCAACCTTCTAGGAGCGCATACTGGATTTCAACCACCAAAGAGGTCGTCGAACAAAAACCAACTTTTATTTGCCGCGTTCTTCGCGCAGTAACGTGCCGCGATGGCTTCCGATATGAACCCCCAGGCCCGGATTTCCCATTTGCCCCGAGCAGATGGCTCGGCAACGTTTTCCAGGGGTGGTTATTGCGTGGTTGCGTCTATCAATGGTCCGATGGAGGCGCAAAGACGAGATGAGAACCCTTTTGAATCTCTCATCGACGTTGTCATACGACCTGCGGCAGGGGTCGGAAGTCAGAACTCTCCGTCCCGAACTCCTCATGGACAGACTTGCTGACGGATATATAGGCACCGGTGAACGTCAGCTCGAGGCCATTCTGCAGTCTGCTCTACGCCAGCTCATTCCCGTCAAGAATTTCCCTCGCTGCCTCATTCAGGTCACGCTCCAGGTGACGGAAATGCCCAAGAACGACTATGTGAACAGCAAGATCGTCCAGTCTCAGTCTGTAAGTCGGCATCTACACTGATTGATATTGGCCGCCGTGAGTTTGAACCACGCGTGCTAACACGCAGTCTTGAAAAGAACCTCACGCTCCTCCCGGCGTTGCTCCACAGCGCCATCTTGGGCCTGCTGTCGGCCGCCGTGCCCATGAAGGCCATCGCCACTTCTACTACTTTGGCTGTCCGGAATGGCAATATCGTAGTCGACCCGTTGCCATCAGAGGCGGACCAGGCAACTTCACTTCACGTGTTGAGTTTCACGTCTCAGGACGATCTTCTGCTAGCAGAAAGTCAAGGGGTCTTCACCATGGGCGAGTGGGATGATGTAGTGAGCACAGGCCAGCGGGTGTGTGGGCAGCATCGTCAAGCGGACGTGGACACGACGATGAATGAGGGCGACCAAAACTCGACAGATATGCGGCACTTCATCCGGACCGTGATGGATTCGAGAGTGGCGTGATTTCGCGCCTGACTTTGGGGCGCGTACAGGGACTTGGAACAGGCCGAGCGACTAGCGAGACGTGAGCCACGTTATGAGATTCATGATGAAGAAATACTGGCAGTTGGGTCAACCGGAGTGACGGCGACAAGAACGGCGACCACGGCGGCAGCGACGGAATACCCGACCTCTTGGCGCATCGGAGCATGAGCTCCAATGTCAAGCAACGAATGTAACGGCCTGATATGGGCCGTGGCGGCGGATAGTACGGCAAGCGGGGGTTTTGACAGGATGAGACGCAACGGGCGGCAAGGGAGTGGCTGGTGAGGCTTGGACGAGGAATGGCAAACAGGAGCGCCAACGCGAGAAGCAAGGGCTGGCATTATGACTGCCTATCGATTGATACCAAACACGCTCACGCTACCAGATTTCAGATGTCCGATTGGACGGAGGAGAATACGTGGCACGGCGACGGCGACGGTTGACAGGGGCGGAACTTTTCACACAGTGGCGAAGGTATACTGGAGGACGAGTATCCGTAGGGATAAAAGAGTCTAGGACTCAAAAGTCAGGAGGATACCTTGGAGTGGGCCAGCAGTTGGAGACGGTGGCTGTTTGATTCGTTTGGGTTCACTGACAGTAGCAGAAATGGAAGAAATTGGAAGAGAAAAAGATGGTGCAAGAGAGGCGATGTTTCAGCTGGATATCAGGGGCGGCAAGGTGAAGCGCGCAGGGTTCGGGGGCGCGGGGGCACGGGGGCACGGGGGCTGCGACGTTGACAGGGCCTCAAATCAGGAGTCGCCGGGCGTCTCTGCCATGGAACCCAGAGCATCTCCCGTCACCTCTCGGCGCTCTCCCGTCGGGTCGGTCAGGTTACCTCAGGCACGGAAACTACAAACGGCTCCGACCCTCGGTGGTTCTTGACTTCTTGCCAGGCCCGGATGCTCCAGACGGGGATTCCAGTGCACGGAGTACGAATACTTTATCCACAGGTAGTGGACGTCCTCAGCTTTCTCTACCTACCCACCTAATTACCTAAAAGGTAAGCAGGGGAATCTCGCCTTCGTATCCTTATGGGATACTTACTATCTTAGCCGACTCTTCAAGACGAAATGCTTCTCCCAAATGCCAGGGACTCTTTTACCCACTTAACGTGTACTCTAGCCCAAGTAGTAAAATGCCAAATTCGTATACCATAGTACTACCTTGGGTACCTACCTACCTAAGGTTGGTAGCAGTATGGCATGGTACCTCACCTAGGCTCCATGTCTTGGCTTCGCTCTGCCAAGAAGAGGGCGACCACCTTGGTTCAGGAGTGACACAGGCTGATTGAATGCTCATGGATGGCCTCGGGGTTTTTTTTAAGCATAATCGACTTAGGCAGGTGATTAATATGTATTGGGCTGTGACTTCTGTTCTTCCTTCTATCGAATGACGTCTGCGTTTTTGTTTTAATCGCTCTTCACTCCAGCAACACAAGTATCTGTGTTGATTCACGGTGTTAGGGCTAAAGCCAAAGGGACGTTCTGCATTTCCATCCCCCGCAAGCGTTCCAACGCTGTGGACCTGGACCTGTACCTGAACTTGGGCCTGTCACCGTCGTTTCCGCCATAAGGTAATAGGTAAGTAGAAGTTTTTACAAGCCCAGCCTTACTTACCGACTTAAGAAAGGGAATGGAAGTCAGATACAGGTATCAAGGTAGGGTCCCACCTACCTGAAGGTAGGTATGTAAGGAAAGAATAGGAGATGCGGTGACGGGAGGTGCATCAAATGAAAAGGCCTGCCCGGGTTTCTCTTTGGAGCCGTGAGTATGAGGTTGGCAAAGGTGAAAAGTGGGCGTTACTGTTTGATCCGCAACAAGTCCAAACCAAAGTCGACTCCTTGGACTTTGCGACGCCAAAGCTGACGACGACCGAGACAAACAACACCAGCAACATCCGCAAATCATTCATCGGAGAGGCGCAAATTGCAATCACCTGTCTTGCCCGCCGCCCGCCGTATAACACCTTGGCTAAGAGTCGGCAACAAGGTTCCTGCCGAAGACAGGCTTGGTCGTCGGTTCCTCTTACACACAACAAAGTCTTGTCGTTGGGTCCTCCCTTCCCACATTCTACTTGCTGACTGGTCGCTCTCCCGGCTGGCTGTCATTCCCACGGTCGTGATCCTCTCTGCCAACCAAATCCTCGGTGTTTCTCCACGGTAAGGAAATCAAACCGCTCAATGTCACACTATCTCGGACGACAGCAGTGATTATCAACGGCGTGTGGACACAAGCAAGCAGTTGTCACGACGCGACGCCGCCGCAACTGCGAACGGTCCGCTCCCGAGGCCGTAGGCAGAATTTCGCCCCTCTCACTCCCCTATACTACTTTGATTTCTGTCTTCGGTGGATCATATTCCATGTCTCGGAAGCCCAGGAACGTATAGGCCGAGTAGCTGTGGAGAGTCAAGGCTCGAGTTCTCGAAACACGGCGGCATCATGCAGCCATCGCATCGAGGATGGGCGATCTACAGCGCCGCACTTAGACCCAGATCTTGCCTTCAACGAGGAACACAACACAGGCCAGCCCGCGGTCTGCGTACCCAGCGGGAGGCCAGACCCGGCCACGATTACACCACTATGATGCCTTCGTACCCTCACAGCGCCCATATCGACACGGGCAGCGCGAATCGCCCTTGTTTGGCTCCCAAGGGTCCGTTCTATCTGTAGGGCAAGGTTGTATGGGATATGGGGCAAGTCGTGACGTGAGACGACGACGGGCAACAGCCAGAGTCCCCGTCCCGCCTTCAACCCCTCCCCTCCCTGGTTGACTCCAAGCAGGCGAGTGTGAAATGAGACCTGTATCCATGGGACGGACAAAACAGAGCAGAGCACATGGCCGCGCGTGTGGCTATTGTCAAACCAAGGTGCATCGAGGAGGATGAATCGTGGTGCGCATGTGAAAGGCCAAACAAGAGATGCTGCAAACGCTGACTGGCAGAATGGGGCTTGGAGCCGTTGTTTTGGGTATCATTTCGCTCATCTATCCATCCCATCCCCCTGTGACGGTATCGTGGCTGTCACACTAGGAGATTGACTGATTCGCTAGGTTCCAGTAGTCTTGGAGTACTCTGTATGCCCGGTCATTATTCACCATTGGGGGCGGCCAGCTTTAGCTGCCGGTGCTGGGTCGTCACGGCGCATGTCAACGATGTCAAATTTTGTTTTGGTTTTGAGAGAGGGAGAGAGGGGGATGGAAACGAAGGGACAGAATGGCTTCTCACGGTTGTATCTGTGCGCACGGATTAGCAGCGAGTCGCTCACCCGTTTCTACTGCAGGTGTCTCAATGCCGATGACTACACCGGAGGAACCCGCGTTCCCAAACACAGCCGGCAGACAGTAGACCAATGGAAGTGATGTGATGTTCGGAACATGAGAGAAGAGAGAATGGGAGTCTAATCATTACAACGTCGTTGTTTATTGACAGAGACAAGACTCCAAAAACTGACGTGTGTGCCGTCACGAGCGGATTGGTAGCGAACACCGCAGCTTGGTGTGGTGAGTGGCCGATGAGCGGGTTCCCGATACAAGTTCTGTGTCCTATTGCCTCTTCAGGACACTTCTGCTACTGCAAGTCACCTCGCCTTATCTTTTCTGCGAGCAGTGCATCATCAACGGCCCTGCAGCACTGGCCGGGGACCTCCCTGGTCGCGACCACATAGTACGCGGGGGGTTGTGAGTGTTATGCCGCCCCCTGTTAAGACGAGACCCAGTTCCTGATACCTCCCGTCTTCTTAAGGTACCGCAGACGCGGACTCTACCTACCCTATCTTAGGCATGTAGTGTGGCCCTGCAAAGACTGGACAGAGGGACGGACGGAGGAAGCCACCAGGGAAGGGAAACCAGGGACTAAGAATACGTACCGCCGTTTTATCATCCGCCGCCGTGTTGTATGCTTAGACACTTCGAGTTAAAGGGATCTGGCTAATGGGGTATGAGGATGAGGAAAGAGAGTTGCTGATTGGATGTGTATAGTGAAGCCAGCAGGGAGAGAGGTAGGGCGCGTACAGAGTATAGCAGACTCCTTCCTATACAACAAAATCCTAGGGATAACAGATGCGTGTGAAAGTTTTGAAGTCGTGATGTGATGTGATATTTGATGAAATGGAGCTCTGCAGAAAGAGAGGAAAGGAGTTTGGATTATTACTAGGTACCTTACCTAGGTCGGATACACATACGGAAACAGCAGTGGATAATGCGCAGAGCAGAGCAAGGCAAGCCGAGGCGAGGCGAGGCAGGGTGGGCTAAGGGTGTGCCTGGGCTCAGCCTGGGCGTTGTTGCGTCTTGAGTCCAGGAATTCTGACGGGAGTGCCCTCGGTCGCATACATTCTCATTCCCGATCGACATCAGACCAAAAAGAGGGCAGGAAGGGGAAGGGGAAGGGGAAGGGGGGGGGGGGGGGGGGAAGGGTACACAAACACAAAAAAAATTAAAGCGGCCTGCCGTTTAAGAGAGGGTAGCGT